GCTGTTAGGACTCTCTAATTAGACAAGGAGAAAAGCCTCCTTCCTGCTGTGTGCTGAGAGACGGGTTTTAAGACTGTCAGGCTGGATGCCACTCCCCTCGCCCACAGGAAATACACTCCTTGTCTTCTGTGAGGAGCAGCTCAGATCGTGGCTACCTCGGTTCTTGTATCACTTATTGGGCACTGACAGAGTTCCAGGAACTTTATGCTTCCAATGCATTCTGTTCTGTTTTGCATTGCTGCCACACAATGCTTGAACCTGGATACCAGAATGAACAGATATGAGTCTGGCTCACAGTCCTAGAGGCTGGGAAGTCCAAAGACATGGTGGCAGTGTCACTTAGCATGCATGAGGTGAGAGTTCAAATTTAGACTCTGGTCCTTTTATAATCAGCACTAATCCTCTCATGAGCCTGGAGCACCCATGACCTAAACACCCCCTTAGGCCACACCTCCAATACTACTGCTCTAGGATCACACTTACAGCGCATGGTTGTCAGAGGATGCAGTGAACCCCATAAGGTAGCTACTCTTTCTACTCCTGTTTTGCAGATGATGAGATTGTAGCCTAGTGTGTAGCACAGCTGGGATTCAAACCCAGGCCAGACAGGCCTCAGCATCCTCCTGCTTACCATGGACTCCAAACATCTGGTGAAAACTCTGGCTTAATGATGACATCTGCTTGGTAGAGGGGGTACAATGTTAACTTTATAAACGAGGGGCTGTGAGAGACCATGGAGGAGTGAGAGCCTGTTTCTCAAGTCCAGCTGTCAAGCCAGTCACTTGAGAGCAACATTCATGCAACAGGGAGGCCTGGTCTACACCCCCAAACATTTTGATGCATGTGATCTGGGACAGAGCCAGAGCTTTCCAGGTGTGTCTGATAGGCTTTCAAGTTTGAGAATCACTGGGGCAGAAGAATAAAGTTGGGAGGGACTTAGTGAACTTCTCTTTAGTAACTTTGCATTCTCGGCTCTGAAGCGGCTGATTCGCATTCCAGGTGTTATGCCTTTATCTCGGTATCCTCATTTGCAGCATGTGGGCAACAGAGCCTGACATCACTGCAGAGTGTTGGATGGGTAAACAGCTTGTAATATGGCACTTAAATGGGAAGCATTGGGATGAAGCGTTCCTGGGGCTAGATATGGCCCCATTTCAGTTGGGGGGGGTTGGGCTTCATCCTAAGCAACTCAGAATCATCAGCAACCACTGGGCAGCATGTGGCTGCGTCCATGGGGCTCAGGTACGAGGTGCCTGCTCACACAGCTGGGGGTCCAGGGAACACTGACTGCCCATCCCTGGTGAAGGAACAGTGTGAGCCAATGCGTAATTAGAACCATTGGCTGGTTCTCAATATGGAGAATGAGATTGGCGGCTCCTGCTCATGCAGGAAATATGAAGCAGTAAACACACTTGCAGTTATGGATGGGGCTAAAACACCATTAAACTGAATGCTAATGGCTGTCTCCTGCTCCCTTTGAATGTTTCACCGTGGCAACCACCAGGTGCCCTTTTCCTGCCTTCTCTTTCATTTTCCCATAATTCTCTTCTGCTGTGGCTTTTTGGATGATAATGGGTCCATACCTGAAATAGTAGTTACAAAGAGAATTAGAATTGTATAAAAAAAGCAAATGAGGTTGTATGTTTCCAGCTCCTCGAATTTTCTGTTTCAAGAATGCTACAATTTCAGGTATTGAGAACAGGCAGAAACAAACTGAGGTGACCATCTTTAGTTGATATACCTTTACTATACCGAATACAAAAGGCATCAAGGGGCCAGGGATTTCAGTAGTTCTGCTGCCTACCTTGCAAGAGCAAGGTCCTGAGTTCGATCCCCAGTACTAAAAA